CATAGTTGCCAAGCCAATAGATCGAATATTGTAAGCTTCTTGTACGACAGTAGCGAGCTTCCGCCGATACTTATGGAAAGAGATGCACGTATCGAACAAATAATTGCAACTCGAATTTCCTGCGGTATTGAAATCTTCTCGGGTATACTTATCACGATAGACACCATGAAACCGTAGTGAATTCCGCTTATCGTGAGAAAGTAACGAGAAAGAAGGATTCACGAGCGGAACCAGATGGAAGGCAGAAGACAATGCGAGTGGAAAAGGGGATGACGGGAGAAAAAGAGGAACGGTCGTAATTACCGTAAGAATTATTCGCGCGATGCCATTGTGAGAATTGCTACCGAAACGGCAGCTGCCTTCGTGTATTGTCGAATGTCTTCGGTATTACAATTCTTACGTTCATTCCACTGCGTGTGTCTGAATATACGCCTACGTCCACACGAATCGATGCATAGTCGGCATGGATCGTTCGAGGACAAAGATACACGCATTGAATCGAAAGTGGAGAACAGTTTGATGCATGGGAACTGCGGCTGCGATTATTTCTTCGTTTTTTATGTCACCATGCGTGACGTAATAAAAGAAAGTTCTTCGCTGTAGGGTCTTTACTACAATTAGTTTATTTACAATAAATTGATTAAATAGACGTTGGTTAAACAGGAAACGATGGTTGTTTAACGTCAACTAATCACAATAACGTATTCTAATTAAGACAACTAGATGATTAATTGGCAAGTCTCGTCACCACGGATCCAACGCTCTCTCTAACGCGGACCACACTCTCTCGACAACGCAATTCGCACTCTCTGACTTCTCAACTCACAATCTCTGGCTTCTCAACTAACACCGACTATTAATTCGTCTTTGTCCCTTAGCATCCCTTTGTCTTTTGTCTTAGCCGCACCACGCACGTGTTCCTCAACCGCTCGTTGCCAGGGTCACGCAGACCTTTTCCGGGAAACTGTTCGATCGAAGGACCGACGATACATTGTTGGGCCTGTCGGCACTTCGGCTTTCTCGCGACATTGTTTATAGTTCGCCTGGTATCTCTTAGGCCTCTCGATACGACGATACATCACGATACTACATTACTAAACGGGCTTCAAGTGTTAGAAATACGTGGACAAACCGAGTACTTGAGATTAGGGGATGAAGGAAGAATAGACGATTAACCAGAGTTGTTCTTTGCGTGTGATTGCAGGTTTGAGACGCGTGAATGAATCGACTGCGTGAGATTAGGGTGTGGAAGAGTTGGAATATACGTGAATGAACGTGTTCTGAGAATGTTTGTATAGTTGGCTGGAAATAGGTGAAACGGATGGTAAAGTAAAAAGAGAAAGGTTGTACGACAAATTGAATTTTTCTATTACAAATATCGTATATACCGTAGATAAGATACAATACTTTCAATCCGCAGTATTTAATCGATTTAATCGTTTGCAAGGAAAATTGAATAGTCTGTAAGAATTTGAGAAGATCGATCGACGATTTTGAGAAAAGAGCAACTGAAATAATATTTTATTTTTTGGCAGTGGATGTTTATAGATTTATAAGAAATTTGAAGACGCAGGAATATATAAAATGTTCTTTTCATATTCATGAAAACATGAATATTTCCATAAACATTTACAATCTACATATTTCCAAAGAACGATGTTTGCTCAAAGTTCGAACCATCGTTTGAAATAATACAAAGTCTAATGCGATGCAAATACAACTCTGATATTATAATTAACGCGTTCGTTAGCATCCGGTTTAACGTTCCTCGCGCGTAAATTCTAGGACATCGTAATCCGATCTGAATTCTCGTATTAATTTTTAGTGGAAAGATAGAAGACCCTAATCGGTAAATCCTTTGTCACTTCCCAACGAAACATCTGTCATGCGTGTTTGAAAAGAACAGAAACGTTTCTGCCTGCCGGACATAATGAACAGTTTGGTCTGGCTACCATATTCTTTTTCAGTATACAATCGTTTTTATCTTCAAAAAGAAAACGCTTAAACATGGTTCTGTGGTATAGTGGCGCGTTTAACGGAAACATTTATTATATTTCACGTTATTCTTTATACGGTAAATATGTCACGTGAACTCACTGAAGTTCAAATCTTTCGACGATAGGGAATAATAAAAATTAAGTAAGTCTGATATTACGTACGTAACGATAGATAAAATTATTATCAAATACCAGATACGTAATTAAAGGATTATAAAATAAAGAGAAAATTATTCGACTATCTGAGAAGATTGATTCCCATTGAAGATTCTACGGTACCGGAGATCCTCTTTTGAAATAATATTGTTTAATAATATTTGAAACAGTATAAAAAATGTAACTTTCCAAATCTTCATTTGCTTGTTAATCTTTTTTAATTTTGCAATAAATCTTCCACGATAATCTTAATTTGCACGCTTAAAACTAAGTAACCTAAGTGACGACAAGGGGAAACAGTTCGATTCCTTGTAAGATAAATGGAGAAAACACGACAAACACATAAACGACGAAGAGGAAGAAAAAGATGATTGCCGGACAGTTTTGGATGCAATAAGATGAAAGAAAAACGTGAAGGAATACGGCATGTCGTTTTCTCCATAGAAGTCAGAATCAATTGGAAGAAAGTCGTTGACGTATTAATTAGAGCAAACGAGGGGCATCGAACTTACGGAAAGTTTTAGCGAGCTAATTGCTGCCGTGGCTGATCGGTTCGCTACAAATTAAGTTAACGCGTGATACAGCGCAGCGGCCTCAGCCAGAAGAGTCGATGAATTTCGCGACGGTCAAACAACAACGCGGTTTCCTGCCAGCGTTTTTTGCACGGAATTACCAAAGGGGAAGACGAATCGTAATTACGAAAATCAGCCATGACGGAGCAGCTGCCGCCTCGTTCGATTAATTGTCGTGCAACATCCCCGAGGCTCTTCAAGACCAGCCACGGTTCCGTACCTGACATTTGATCCTTTCTGAGCAGCCGTGTAACGATGCCCGTTCACTTGTTCGCTGGTTCGCTCGTTTATTCCTTCGTTCGTTCGATCGACGTCTATGTTTTTATGAAACTTTGCTCGTCATTCGTAAGAGAAATCGGGTTTACAGCGTGCATTAGTTCCGTACGAACGCTTATTTGTATATCATATTATAGTGATTAGTAGTATGTAGTAGTATATTATAGTGATTAGTAGTGATACATAGTGATTCACGATTTTACAAACGTTTGTCGTAAACAAATTTTCTAAATATATTATACGTGTCGTAGGAAACTTTATGAAATTTTATTACGCGGTTATCGCGATTATATTGAAGAAATTTGAAACCAATGAAAATAGAGGTAGCATGTAGAAATTACGAGACGTTTCTTGAAATAAATATATCTATCTCATTATAGCGTTAATGAAATTTAAAAGGAACTACTTTTACTAACAAGAAATCACACCGGCGTCATAAATTTCATTCATTTGACGAACTCCTCGTTTCAACCACTTTCTACGTGTAATCTATATTAAGGAATTATCTTCCTTCGATACATCGGCTTTAATTAATTATCTCTCAGTTTCTCAAACACGATCATAAAAATGATGTTTTCGATAAAAATCTGTAATTGCATTCTATGTACATATTTACCCATTCGAGACTTTTCTTCCTTAAACGCATGTACAGAGTGTCCCATTTTTATAATTTATAATTTTATCATTTTTTATAATTTGTAGGTAGTTCCATTTAAACAAACAAGTAAACTCGACATCTCCAAGACGCGATAAGATTTGTAACCATCGCGAGGTGTTCCCTCGAAACAAATAAGTTTCATTTGAAACACTTTTTCGAATAATGTGTAATTTGATGGATATTTGTGTTGATCGATTAAAATGGGACACCCTGTACATGCACTCCAATTACATATCGCGGAAATGAATTCTCCTCGAATTTTGTCGATTCATAATCGAGCAAAAACTAGCGAAACTTCAACTTGAAAGGTTCACGAGCTTTAATTAATTAGTATTATTAATGCTGGTTTAGCATAAATAAGACACAGAAAGATGGAAAAGAGGTCATTTCAGGCGAAAGGGAAAAGTTATTTATTTTATTACAACCTCATCCTGATTCTGTCGCGCCAATTAAAACCGATAAATTGTATTTAACCCAACGATAAATCCGGCAACGATTATCTGGACCGAACAATTTATACGACAATTTTAACGAGATAAGAATACGATGATTACAGTGAATATTCGATATTTTAGTGTCGTTCGATATCTTTGGTGAAAGTGTAAGTAGTGACAAATGTTTCTTTGAAGCAACATACAGTATCTGTAAGATTATAATTATTAGCTAGCAACGGAATGGAAATTATAGGTATAAAATGTTGTTTAATTCGTTCGAGCCTGTTCGATGTGAAATTAAGCTTCATATTGAAAGCAACGTTTGTAAATTATTTTAAGCTATAGCGTACCTACTAAGCGTGAAATTTGTTATTTATTGCTGACGTATTCGATATACTTTTTTGTACGAGATATAATGTTTTCTACAATCTTTATTAATTTCCAGAGCATGATTATAGGTGTTAAATCATATTTAAATTACACAATTTTCTCGCATAAATGCATAAATCATTTGTATCTTATTTGGTATAAATTTTGGCTAATTACGGTCGAAGAAAAATTATGCCATGTCTTACACTTTTCACAAAGTTATGAATTAACAGATTAATTTCTAATGACGCAAATTGCGTATTAGATAGTTTGTATACCTCGCCCCTTTTCTTAACACCTTGTAGAATACGTAATAAGAAATCTATGCAATCTATAAATTCTATTTATTATAATTATTTTCAATTACTTCATAAATTCTTTTTATTACCAGTATTTGTCCATTTTTCACTGGCTATCTCAATTTTCACATTCATAAGTGAATTCTTAAATATATGTCTCTACTCTACAGTACCATAAACATAACCTTCGAAAGCATTTCCTCTTATGAAATCGCAAGATATTTGGTTTAACCTTACCTGGCATCTCCAAGCGGTACGTAAAATCAACTGCGTATTGGACACATTTTTGATTATTCGTTGCGTAAAACACGAAGAACACGGTGGTCCTTTAGTACTCCCGTAATAAGTTCATTTACATAATTAACCGGCTGTTGTATCGACGAGTGGTGAAAATAAAGAAGTAGATGCGTTAATTATCGAAACTCCAGTTTCCACCTGCACATGCACGCGCGAAATGGCAAGTGATTCAAAGAAATCCCGTTATGTCGTGACAAATTATTAGCCCGGTTGTAACACGCGCCGTTCGTTCTATAAATTATTTTATTCGCAATAAACGAGATGACTGAGTCATGATTATCGGCCGTTTTCAGCCATCGAATTGCGTATCCGTCTCTTCACGTGCCGTTTTTACCCTCTTTATCTTGCTCCTTATCGCCGCCATGCTCTCTCTCTCTTCCACTTTCTTCGACTTGTTCTGTTCCGCGCGAAGCCTTTTACTCCGGTGTATTTCACCTGCTCGAAATTTATCACGAACCAGCAACTGATTTCCGGTTCTCTCGTTCTTCCTTTTCACCGAAAGTGTAAAACACGGAAATACTTCGAAGCACAACCTCGAGTGATTCAGATTCTTCATACGCATAAATGTACACTGCTGTGCTGTCTTCACTGATGGAAATGCTTCCATTGGTGGAAAATGATTCATTTTTGAAATTGTTCATACACAGGTAAACACTAACTACTTTGTTACAGTACACTATACTACTCTTATATCGTGTTGCAAATCTTCGATAAATTTCAATTTACGATACATTTTCGAACTGCAAAAGTCACATCACAGATCACTGTTTCCTTGTTGACATACTAATCACAAATGAGATGTCGAATATACACAGCATTTGATGGAGTTTACATTACGTGTTCTGAAATACCGATTGTACAAAAGGTCAGAGATTTTGTTATGCCATCTATGATCTAGGGTGGTGGATATAAACACAGCGTTCGATCCAACCAGTCGTGTTAGTGAAGGTTAAGAGAGTACATCAAAAGATTGTTTTTTGTTGCATCCAAAATTCAGCCACATTTGAAAATCATTGAATTTAGAAAAGTAGGTAAGTGCACACTAGCTTTTGCTTATGATTACCATTTCAATCAACCATTTATTTATGTGATTTGTGTCAAATTCCAAATTAAATATTCCTTTTTCATTTTCGTTATTTTTTCTCCAATCCTGTATTTGATTGTTAGAGATATCGATAGCTTGCGTTCTTTACTTCTATCGTGACAGGCTTTGTAATGGAATGTATTAATATAATTTTCACTGGTTTTGGTGTTACTTTCTTTTATATTTAATTTGACTTGATTTGATGGTGTCGATTAATGACGCCACTAACATGGAAGGATTAAGTCGTCAATTCAAAGCATGGACGCCATGATGATTAATGGTCAATCTGATTTTTTACGGAGATTTGGTAATGTATCACTTATTGTAACGAAAGCTATCACGTTTTTGCATTGTCTTTTCACTGAATCATTAATAATACTTGATATACATACAGTTATTTATTTCGTGATACACAATTTATTTGATTACGTAATTTCATGTACTTCCTTGGTCAAAACATCGAAGACAACGTTCTTCGCATCTAATCGTAACATAATTGAATAATAAATAAATTCATATTCTTTTGAGAATGCTAATTAGAAATTAAAAAATGATTATACAAATGCCCTTTGATATATCAACGTTTCTTATTTCAAATAAATTAAAAGAATAATTTTATTGTCTGCATTTGGATTACGTTGTACTGTGTTCCCGCGCATTTTCTCTATAGCAGCGTCATCTCCTGACTTTTTTTTAAATAATTTTTATTATTTCTATGAGGAAGTCGCCATTACATGTTCAGTTTCCGGCACGTAATATTATCGTTCTCTTCGAATCTCATTTTTTAATATCTCAAACTATTTAAACAATTGATCTTGTGTTTTTAAAAATAGATTATAATGTTTCACGTTTTAACGTGTTAAAGGTTGTTCACGATCTACACTCTTTCCTACTCTCCGTAGAAGATCTAGCGATGTTTCAGAAATCAAGAATGTAAGTATCTCTGAATGTCGTGCTTCGCACTGTTTCCAAAAACGAGTTATATTAGATATCCCACGCTTTTTTCAGAGTTTCTCCAGCCTTCACTTTTTCTATGGCGTTCGATGATTTTTATTTGATGATGGACTTCACGATGATGCTTTCTGGATCGCAACAACATCGAAGACGACGTTCCTCGCATCTAATCGTGAGTCGCATGCTTTTCTATTCCTCCGGTTACCCAATCGTATCTTAGGATCGAAGGTTCGAATCGGCCTGGGTGACTGGTTGTATTACGTTCAATTTTTCACGAGCATGGTAGCCGCGGGTTTATTTTATAGCCATAAGCAGTGACATTTTCTTGGCTATTGTCATATTTATAAGCGTTTTTGCGTGTCCAATCAGTTTCGGGAAATATAATTTCAAAAATCGATGGTGAAACTGACACGAGTAGAATGCAGCATGCGAGCTTTGCATATCGATTTTTTAATTTCTTATGGGCGCGAATGGATCTCGAAACGAACCACGACGATAAACGAAATTATCGTGACAGAAAACCGTCGAATTTCGACGATTTTCACGCACGTTGATTTGACACGTTCCTGGACGGGACACGCGTGGCTACGCTCGACGAGCATTCTCGAATCACCTTTCCCCGTAGCGAGAGTATCGAAGCGGCAAATTGACGGGTAACCAGCCGAGAAAACCGACGAGTCGACTTTCGGCGCGTGCCGGCCTCTGCTCGCGGTATCCGGTTGCGTACTTGCGCACCACACACGCCGACACCCGCCTCAGCGGCCGCGTGGGTGCGCTCGCGTGGTCATCATACTGCACGGTGCAGCCATACAAGGTAGAAATGCAGCAACCTTGTCGATTGAGTTACCAACGACTCGTGTATATTAATTACACGTGTGTCAGGTTGGTAACGTTGATGTTATCGATGCCGGTTTAATTACACGATTATTTTCTGCATGTCGGTTGCATTTACGAATGATCTGCACTGTTTGAAAATTCAAGTAGAACCTACAATCTTTGGTTGTCGAGTTGAGAACAAATTTTTCACGTTTCTTGTTCCTTTTTTTTTTAGTAAAATTAGGAAATACGAACAAAGTACGTAATAACAAGCTGATTATTAGTTTATTAGTCGTTAGTAGACAAGTTTATTAGTTGTTAAACTGCTGTACACCCCCGTTTAGAACTATTAAGGTTATTATAACAAAATGAAATATAGATGTTGAAAGATACATATTATTGGATAATACAAAAGCGAGGAAACGACGAGTATGCCATATATCTCGTGCTAATCGTCGAAAGCTGCAATAGACGTTTCGTTCTTGATGTTTTTGTTGCCGTTGGCATCTGATTTCCGGTGTTCACGATACTTGCATTGTTCTGGCCCAGCCGGAGGGTAGCCCCTTTGCAAAATTAACGTGCCACCACTATTTACGCGACTACTGGCCGATTCTTATCGGAATCGAATCTTCTCTCCTTCTTGTGCCTTTCTCGAAATCGATTAATTGCTCGCTCGACAACGAAGGTCGGCCGAGATTGGTGATTCGGGGACGACGAACTCGAGTTCGTCTGCCGACTGAGTTCCCACGTGTCTATTCTCGATATACTGGGTGTCGGAAAACGTACGATCAAAGGTGTGTAGTATTAACGTAAGCAATACAGAGAACTTTAATATTTGTGTTCTAAACGATCCTCTACGCAAATATCGTTTTATAAATATTTATAAAATAACTTTTAGAGAGATAACTCGATAGTCGAGAGAACTTCAATGTTTGTTTTCTCAGAGATAATGATATTTGAAGTCGGTAAAAAATCAAATAGTTATATCGAGTATTATAATCTAAATCTTTTACCTGTACATATATTTTTATGTGATTTTCGTACATAATACTTTTGTGTATTATGTACATTGTAGACATTTGTGTATCTCTTTTATTTCCTATGGATTTATAATCGTTCATAGCCTACTTATTATTTTAAACACAATTTGCCAAACAAATCAAATATACTTTTTCCAAATAAAATAAAACACCGTTCTATAAACCACTGAAACAAACCACATTTCGTTCATATCGCCCCAAACGTTTTCTCCTAAATGTTCAAGGCCAATTTAATACCAATCTTTCTAAACACTCTATGTGCATGTATAGGTCGTTGAACGAGACACCTCGCACGAAACAGGGCCATGGCATTGCGCGTCGAATACACAAAATTCGAGCAGACCCGGTGTCACAGCCGTTTCCAACTCGTATCGTTACTCAGGACGGATTACACGGGCGTAAAGATTTCCGGGCGTAAAAAATGAGGAAGCGAGGCGGCCAGAAGCGGCGACGTTACGAGGCGAATCGTGCGCTGATACGCACCTGTCCCGTACCGGAGCCAATCACAGCGTCCTAACGAACGAAGAAGCCCTTTTTGCGGCCAGAACCTTTTTCTCTTTCTCTGTCCCTTTTCACTCTGCTTTCTTTCTCGTTCTTCGACCGTTCTTCTCAATCGTGCCGCCAGCAAATTACCAGCGAGTTGGCGCGCAATTCGCAAGAATCGAACGGCCCTGGCAATCGCACGCTTCTAATTAACGAAACTGCGTCCTTTCTCTGCTTTTGTCCACCTCGTGTGTTACATATTCGCTGATTAAAGCCGCAATCTATCGGGTAGCTAAGCTAAGTTACGCTATGTTAAATGTACAAGTATTAGCTGCGATATACGGAACCGTCTCGACTAAAAGCTAAGCTAAGCCATTAGCCTGATTTTTAGTTGACTTCTGATGCTTTCCTGAAATTACTGCTTATTTAAATATGGAGATATCTTCTTAATACAGCAGCCTTTCTTCAATTTTGTTTCTTCTTTTGTACTCTTAACAGAGTTTCAATGAAAATCCTGATTTGTGCATTAGAATCAGTTTGTTCGTCTACGTTTGGTCTCGATGCGAGAAAGTTATCAATAGACTACAGATTTTTGTACAAATTTACATCTTTATGAATGCAGATAAAGCAGAATCTAAATAGTGATTCGTTTCACCCGGCAAAAATTATATTTTACTTTGGCTATTTTACGTATCTTTCGCGCCTTTATATTTCGAAATAAAATTACAGTAAAAATTCACAGTGTAGTTTCGACGGATACAATTAAAATTTGTGCAATTGTAACATCCGACAAAATCGACGTCCGCTTACGACTGTCGTTTTAGCGCATTTTGTGCTCTTGGTTTTACGTGGCGCGTTTGAGCAAGGACGGCTGAAAATCTGGTTCCTGCGAGACAACGTACTGTTTATCGACATCCGTTACCATCCGCAGACTAGGAAACGATAATGCTTAAACGTCAGGCACCCTGATTTTGCGGAAATGAGTGTAATTAATACGCACGTGGAATGCAAAGTCTTGTATCTCGGGAGATTATGTTCTCTTTTTTCGATGGAATTATTCAGATTGCGCTTTTAAAATGTATCGCACTTGCGTTCTTCACTTGTCAAGCTTAAAATGTGTTTGATTCTTCGAAGGATTCTCACGAGGTTTTGCAAGAATTTTTGAGTGAATCGTGGACAGCGCTGGATGAATAATTTGTGAAGTTAGTTAGCCAGATATTTTTGAAATTCAGAAATTTTACAGAATCATCGTCGATTATTTTAAGGGGACTTTAAAATGTATCGCACTTGCGTTCTTCACTTGTCAAGCTTAAAATGTGTTTGATTCTTCGAAGGATTCTCACGAGATTTTGCAAGAATTTTTGAGTGAATCGTGGACAGCGCTGGATGAATAATTTGTGAAGTTAGTTAGCCAGGTATTTTCGAAATTCAGAAATTTTACAGAATCATCGTCGATTATTTTAAGGGGACTTTAAAATGTATCGCACTTGCGTTCTTCTCTTGTCAAGCTTAAAATGTGTTTGATTCTTCGAAGGATTCTCACGAGATTTTGCAAGAATTTTTGAGTGAATCGTGGACAGCGCTGGATGAATAATTTGTGAAGTTAGTTAGCCAGGTATTTTCGAAATTCAGAAATTTTACAGAATCATCGTCGATTATTTTAGGGAGGTTTTCCAAAACCTACATAAAACGGTTGAACTTTTTTTAAAGTTTGATCGACGTAACAGATAAACAGAGCGATAAAAGTGAATTCTTAAGACTACGAAAAGATAATAAACAATTCCTTAGCTTCCAGGAAGTAATCGAAAGCGTCACGTCTGCTACAATGTTACTATATAATGACGTTACGTATTTGTTGCTATTCTTGATTCTACAATAACGTTATTTTACAGGGTTATTGTCAGTAATATTGAAAACGTAGTGATATGGAAATTTCGAGGGAACAGGGTACGTCAAAACAGGTGCTGATATGCAATTGTTATAGAAACACGTGCATTGGAGAATCTTCATTATTTCCATTTCTATTATTTGAATCTTTGAGCATTCAGATGTAATGTTATCCTAATTCTTTATTTGTTAAATGTTTTGCACCTGCAGTTGCAGCCTTTCGTAATAACGATAGATAATGTTATTGTAGAATTGTAGTTGTATTGTAGAATCGAGTGGAATGAATTTCGTCAAATTCCGAAGTTCGAAAGATCGAATGTTTGAAAAGTCAAAATTTCAAAAAATACAAAATTCGACGATTCGAAAATTTAAAAAACGAAAATTTACAAGTTTGAAAAATCGAAGATACGTGCTACCAAAATTATAGGAATTTAAAAATTAGTCTTGAAACAAATTACAGTAGGTACCATATTATATCGGACATCTACTTTTTTCTCTGTATATCCACACACACACGCACCTATATATGTCGAGTTATCATTGGGATTAGGAGCGTTTAACGAATCTTCGTTTGGATTAGCCATTGTTGTTATACCATATAGATGACAGTTAATGCTACAAATATGATCATTACAGAATCTGACAATCAACCGTGGCCGACTAGATACACCACATGCTAATGACAATAATCTTAGATTCAATAACGAATACACGGTCAACAGAATAGCAAATGCGCTTACTTGTCCTAAGTCCAAGTGTAACTAAACTTACTTGCCCACAGACCAAGTGTAATTGATCTTATTTGTCCACAGTGCAAGTGTAACTGATCTTACTTGTCCACAGTCCAAGTGGAACTCCTCCTGTGCCTTTCTATGTACCTTTTTGTACCCCTTGGGTCAACTATGTTTTTAAGGAGAGCTATAGAACTACATAATATCTT